CATTCACGAGTAAGAATCACGAAGTTATTAAGTAATTACATTGTAAAGTAATCATGGTTGCGAGGAAATTATATTAAATGTGTAAATTATTACTAAAGACGAATACCTAAGTACTTAAGTACATTGAGGGATAGCCTGCCTGATCATTTTAAAATAGGATAGTTTCCTAAATTTTATTTAATGTCCGTCTGGTACATTAATTTAAAACTTTAGACACGTATTTTTTCTTTTCTCACAAAATTAAATACTTTCGACGATATATTAAACTGTCAAACACCAAGCGGTCACCGGTGACCGCGACCTATTGTTCTTTAATTGTGTCTATAAAACCGGTACTCGACGAGTTAATTTGAAATATCGTGTGACGTCACAGCGTGCCACATTTTGTAGCCCGTTATGACGTAACGACCTCCCACTCCTAAACTTAGCGCCATTATATGTAAGTATTGCAACTTAATACGACAAAATAAAAAAATACGTGTCTAATATTTTTTCATTGTCTAACTGACAGACTAATTAGATTTTTAATTTTGATACTCTGGAAACTTCCCAGTTGTAATGCTTGGAACCCAACAAAAACATCAGGCCACTCCCCATAAATGTCTCAACTAACAGAAAAGCGATAATATCGCAGCTTATTCAGTAATGCGTTATTCGTCAATTCAAGGTTATGGGATGGGGCTCAAAATCGAAATCACCAGGTGCAATCAAATCTTAGTGGTGGCCAGGCGGACTTGATAGCAGATCGTGGTAGCACATTCGTCATAGGTAAAAAAAGGTTCCTAAAGGGTAGACAGAGACATTGCATTAATTGCATCCGAACATGCAAAAAAATATTAATAACTAAGCTAAAGGGAGTTATCTCCATTTTCACCAGTTAAATACCCAACCCAATATAATTAGGAAGCTGCCTACTTTCAACCTCTTCAAAATAATTTGTAATAAATTGTTAGTGATACGTAAAAAATTCCGTAAAAAACGCTAACACTTTTTGTTTGAGAGTAAGTCTAAGTACCATTGTGAGTGACGATCAGCATCAGCACAGACGTACCTAAACCACTTAAGTATACAAGGTGTTGTTTTAAAGCCGCGTCATTTTCTAGGTGGTAAATCGGATATCGATTCTGAGTCCGAATCAATAAAAAAAAATTATAGGTAAATATTTTTCTGAAATTACGGAAATCCGTCTTGTAACTAGCTTTATAACGTGGCTTAACACACACAAACTCAAACACGTAATTCCTAATTCCATAAAACTCCAATAAGAAACATTGCTGTTGCTTATTCTTGCGAACTTAATCAATTTATTATAACCGTATTTTTAACTATTGGCCCAAAATTTTCTCTTACATTGAACCTCTATGACTTCTGTGACATGGCCCTGAAAAATGAAACGGTTTCAAAACTACACCTTGTATATTAAAATTGAATATCATTGCATACGTCACACACGAGTACACGACGAAGAAGATAGCACGTGTGACCACAAAATAACATCATATATAAGTAATCATTTCAACAAACAAACAAACAACTCAGCACTAAATACTTTATCCGTTTTTACTACGATAACTCACTATCGATATAATGAGCTAATATAGAAATGTTTACATTTGCTGCACTTTACTCTTGTCCTAGCTATAAAGTATAAACTATTCCTATAAAGCCATAAGAATAAAGAGAAACAAATAAAATCCTTACTAATATTATAAATCTCAAAGTGAGTTTGTTTGTTTGTTTGTTTGTTCCACCTTCACGCCGTAACTACTCAACCGATTGCTTTGAATTTTTGCAGACGTAAAGTTAGAAGTCCGGATTAAATAATAGGGTACTTTTTAACCCGAAAGGAATTGATATTCCCGAGGAAAAACAAAAGTATTGGTATAGATGGCGCTGTGTGTAATGGTATATGTCACTTAGGCTACCTTTTATCCTTTTGTGACGCGAGCGACGCCGCGGGTAAAAGCTAGTAGTCTAATAAATATGACCCTTTTTATCTATGACTAGTTACTTCCGCTTCCGTGATTACACCCGCTCTGCTCAGCGCCTATTGATCTTAACGTGATGTTTTATAATCTAGCCTATAATCTTCCCCAATAAATGGACTATCCAACACAAAAAGATTTTTTCAAATCGGACCGATGGTTTCTGAGATTTGGCTGTTCAAACATACAAGCAAACTCTTAGCTTTATACAATAGTAATAATAAGATTTCCAACTCGAGTGGATATTTAGCAAACCCTCTTACACAGATGAGGCCCCTAGTCCAACTGTAGACGGTTGGTAGCTATTGATAAAATGATAGTGTGACTAATAACGAACATAATAGTAGCGAAAAATAATATTAGCGATGTGGAAAATATCCATCAAAAATTGTTCCAAATATCACATTAGCATGTTAAACAAATTGAAATGGTAATCCATGAAGTGCATAAAATTTATGACAAAGGAATAATGTAAGTAGATAAGTTCGCAATAATGGTCGTTTCATCTCAACGAACGCTTGTTTTTGTAAAGTAATTTAGAAAAACACATCCGCACTAAATGGGGGATCTCCGTTGCGGTTGTGACTAAATATTGAATTCGGCTATGAATTAATTTACACTTGGACTGCGATGTCCAAAGTTTTCCGTTAAACTATACCTCTATGTATAGTATATACATATGTACATTATTTTGTTGGCCGACTGCCTCGTTGGCCGAGTGGTCGCAAGTGCGACTGCCGGGCAAGGGGTCTCGGGTTAGATTCCCGGGTCGGGCAAAGTATTACTTGGTTTTTAAAAATTCTTAGTAGTAGCACGGAGTCTGGAATTGTGCCCGGTATATGGCAATAGGCTCACCCCCTATTACATGGGACTCATAACATAAATAGTGAAAAGTGGGTGTTACATTGTACAGTGGCATAATGTGCACCTCTGCCTACCCCTTCGGGGATAAAAGGCGTGATGTTATGTTATGTGTTATGTATAGTATATTTCATGTTTAACTGTTCGAGCTGCCGCGTAGGCCACCGGTGACCGGAGTTAGTGGTAAGTGGACGATTTCCCTTTAACAGTTTCCTGATGTCAGTCAAAGGTTTACTTACACAATTCCTGTCCCAACAAAATAAGTACTATTTCGTCGTCGATGTTGTTCGTGATCAAATTTTACTTTTTGTTTATGATAACACACTTCAGATAGAGCCTGTTCTTATAACGAGATATTATACGTAGTTCTGTTAATTGATCTAAAAGGTATATTAATAAAATCCTTCATTGTACTGCGAAAAAGCAGCAAAAGCTTTAAATAGAATTTGATATTATCAAAACATTCGACAACGATACAAATTCTGTAAATAATATTTTATAGAAACTATCTTTCCAATTATCTATATAAAATTTATTATGCCTGGCAATTACGTATTGTAATGGCAATCTCGTATTGTTTATATCTATTTTATTCAGTGAAAGGAAATTTAAGTCCCATAAAGATGAATTTCTATTTAAATCTGGTAGTACATAATACATTGTTGTTTTATTTTAATTTCTCCACCACCATCCTGGTTTAATTTCTTGTTATTCCTGTCTTCATGCAGATCTATCGATCTTATTACATAGTCTGCTTTCTCTGTAGAGGAGAACCTATCAATACAGATTATGTAACAAACACATTTTCTTTTCTCTCTTACTTTTAACTCTGTTTAATTTTAGGCGATTGACCGGTATCATAACGCTATGGTATACGTAGTCACCATGGCTCTTGAATTCAATAGTATAAACAAAAAAACGACGAGTTGCACTCCGGGAGTGAAAACTTAAGTATAAATGCTGTGCGTTTTGAATATTTTTGAATGGTTATGTTGTACGAATTGCTTTAATAATAGTATGAAAGTACTGTATTTTATGTGGTAGAATACAATATTTATTTATTGCGGTATCGTACACAAATATGACAATTTATATTTCATTAAAAAGTTTATACCTCAGAAAAATCAACTTCCATCCATAATATTTACGACTTGTTCACCAGTATCATTATTACCAGAACCATCATCGCCAATCTCTGAAACTGATACGATCAGTTTATGTTACCTGAAGTAGGTAAGAAACGAACAGTTTTGATTCGAACCAATTTAAATGTCTGATAAAGACCACATCAATAGTAGTTTTGTATTTCGTTGTGCTAAAATGGCGATCATTTGACATAGTTAAACCGAATTCATTATTTAAAAATTCGAATAAACACACAAACATACACGAACATTCGCGCAAGCGCCCTTCGCCGCTTAAACGAAACAGCCGGCGCAGGCATACATTTTCGCCGCGCCGTAGAAAGAGAGGGGGATACTCCTACGCCAGCTGTCAATCCGTCTTACAAATTTTCAATCAGGGTCACGTGTCCTGACAAGAGTTTAAAATTTTTTACCCATTACAAAAAAAAGTGTACAACGCCGCTAAAAAAGATTTCACTTCAAAAACGATGAATGTTTTTTTTAATAACTATCATGAGGTAGACTGAAATAACTAAAATGACGAATTAATCACGTTAATATTAATCACGTCCTTCTATAACTGGCAACTAGTAGAGCTTTTCTCAGTTTATGTACGTGAGTATCTCGTCATTATTAGTTAACAAAGTTGAATTGTCAGCAAACACAAGTCTCGTATAAAACACGACATGACCTCCAATGGTGTCAAAATAACTAATTAGGTAAAGCGAGCGTACTTAAGGCGAAGGCCTTTGAGTAAAGAGGCAGAACTTACATTATCAACACATATGTATATGAACTGCAGAATTAAGTCTGACAAAAATATAAACAATATACTTTTCATCTAATGACACCAAACTAATAATATACCTCTTCTCGATATTCTCGTTTTCACATTCAGTTTTGTTGGTATACTATCTTTCTCGTTGAACCCTAATGTAAGTCATGTACCTCTAATTATATTTCATAGAAAAACCTTACACTGTTGGGAACCACAAACATTATATACAAGTACCTATTAGCATACTATATGCAGAAAAACTTTGTTAGGCGGTTATATAAAAGGCACAAAGAAACAATACTTGAGCAGTCAGTTCCGATAATTCGCAATCATGGCACCATCTAAGGTAAAATTATGGAGTTATTATATAAATTATTATCATACCCAAGATTTGTATCATTGTGCAATAGCATTAGCCTTGAAAATTCAATACAATTTATTTCTTTTTTTAGTATTCTTTTAAGAATTTCGTAATAAAGCTTTTTTTCGAAATTGTTGTACATCATGTAACTGTATTTTTATTTGGTGTAAATCTCTGAAAAATTGTCAGTCGTGTCAGATTAATCAAAATTTTACATCGAACAGCAAGTTCAACAACATATTGTATTAATGTTTTATAATTTTCACCCTGGTACACGTCGTCGATATTTCATTTTTTGAATACATATTACCAAAAAAATTTTTTGTACATTTTAGTAGATTGCCAATTTATCTTACCCTTTTTTTTATAAATATCAAGTGTTTTTTATTTGGGCGTTCTAATCTCGGAACTACAGGTACCATTTGAATAATTATTTTTGTGTTCGATACTCTATTTATCGAGGAAGGCTATAAGGGTTCTTGTAAAACATCACCGTACCGAACAAGGCGGAGGAAACTGCGCGGACAGAGCTATAATGAATACTTCATGATTTTCAAAATTTCATTGAGTATTTGGTGTACATAAAAAATGTGAACAATAATGTTTATTGTTAAAAACTGCTTTTTATTTACAGGTTTTCTTCATCTTTGGATTGTTGCTAATCCTAATTGTGGGAGTCTTCGCACAAGGTCGTGGTGGTTTTGGTGGCCGAGGTGGAGGTTTCGGTGGCCGAGGTGGTGGCGGCGGTTTTGGGGGTCGTGGGGGTGGATTTGGTCGTGGAGGTGGATTTGGAGGACGCGGAGGTGGATTTGGGGGTCGTGGAGGCGGCCGAGGCTTCGGAAAGTGATCCTGAACCAAATTAATGCTCCATAATATAATTTGCGTACGACAACGGATAAATGTAGTGTTCTGTGCAGCACAAAATAATGTGATAATTTATTATTTAATTGCATAATGTGAACGGTGCAAACGGTATACTGTTTATGATCTGTTTATTGATTAGTGATGAAAATTAAATTCTAACAATTTAAACTGCTCTTTTATTTACTCCTAAGTTTATTGAACAAAGCTTTAATTGTACATGACTTAATATTGCTTCAGAATATGCAAGACAATAATGAAGGATAGTCTGATACGGGTTCATGACAGAGTGACAAGCACGAATAACTATCACATTCGTAACGTAATAGTATCGAGCGCGTTCGGCACTCTGATTGGCCGGCTCTAGTGAACCAACCAATCAGAGCGTAGTTATTCGTACTTGGCATTCAGAACTAATTATTTTGTTGACTGCCTCGTTAGCCGAGTGGTCGCAAGTGCAACTGCCGGGCAAGAGGTATCGGGTTCGATTCCCAGGTTGGGTACAGTATTACTGGGTTTAAATAAATACCAGTACTAGCACGGAGTCTGGAATTGTATCCGGTATATGACAATAGGCTTACCCCCTATTACATGGGACTCATAACATAAATAGTGAAAAGTACGTGTTACATTGTACAGTGGCATTAAGTGCCATAATGTGCACCACTGCCTACCCCTTCGGGGATAAAAGGTGTGATGGTATGTTACATCATAACATAAATAGTGAAAAGTGTTAGATTGTACAGTGGCATAATACACACCTCTGCCTACCCCTTCGGTAATATAAGGCGTGATGTTATGTTATTTTGTTGATATTGAACACAGGCAAAGAGTTAAACGTTCTTACAAAAGTTGAAGACTAGTTGCGATTTCCATTACTTGTTTAAAATTTCATTAAGCTCCAGTAATTTAGCTTATATGTAGTACTAGGTGTACGTAAGTACATTTTAATCCCTAAAAATTACGGGTTACTCACGTGAATGTACTGAAAAAAGCTCGACTAATATCGAGTCATAGAAGGACTCTTCCTCAGAAACAGCGTGTGAGGTCGCGGTGACGTCAGGCAGCCAACAGTACGGAGTAGTCGATATAAAAAGATTCTAATCGTTATATTTTCTACAATTAACTGCCTAATTAACTACTTTGATGCCTAAATTAGGGTATAATTTTTATTGTTTTCCAGTTTTTTACTTTCGTTTTATTTAAACTGTCAAACACCAAGCGGTCACCGGTGACCGCGACTTATTGTTCTTTAATTGTGTCTATAAATACGGTACTGGAGTTAATAGTTTAGTTGTAGTTAATTTTAAATTGTAAATAATTATGAAGTTATATACATTTAATTATAGTTTATGTTTCAATGGTTTCATCTGAATAAAAAAAAACATTTTTATAATATCTAAGGGGATTACCTTGTTATTACTACGTAGAAATTAAAACCGTATTGGTCTTATTACCGTATTGGATGATGACTCAAGAAAACTCAAAAAAATTTTCCCTACATTGTCAAGATAAATATATTTTTATAAAATAATGTCTAAAAAAAATAAAAATAATTATTATTCAAAAAAGAAAAACGTGACAACAAACGATGACAGGGTGTGAAAATGAAAAATCGATTTAGTCTGTCAGTTATATAGATAATGAACAAATATTACATTTTTATTTTGTCATATAAGAAAACAATACTTAGATAAAACGAATCAAAGTTTAGGAGCGGGAGCTAACTACGTCATTTCTATGTATAAAACGTACCTAGAAGTGACGTCACGCGAAATCAATACATCGTCGAAAGTATTTGATTCTGTAAGATAATAAAAAATACGTATCTAACGTTTTAAAACAATCTACGAGAAGAATATTAAAATAAAAATTAGTGTTCCTACTTAAAAAACAAAGAAGCAAAGTGATGAATGAAAGATAACAATTAATATAATGACAGCCTCAAAATTTTCTACGGGTCTAACCAAAATGATCGACATGATAATAAGCCTTTTTAGCACTCGTAGCGTTACGAAACGTTGCCAATGGTAAACACACTAGTGAAGACTTCTCAGTATTCCTTTATTGTAGAACGATACCACAATTGTTGCAAATTATTATCTATTACATATTTTTTATTTTTTTATTTTCATAACTAGGCAGAACAAGATCATGAAACACAGTCAGATAAAATTATTAAATGCTAAGTAAAAAGAAACTGTCGGAAATTAGAACATATTGCATCAAAAATATTATTTGGTCCATGAAACATTAAATAGATATCATAATACAAACACGTTAAAAATATCGAAGTCAAAACAAATACGTTTTTAAATCAGATTGGTATTTTGCCATTGTAAACAGAACCTTAATCGAATAGCTACGATACACAAATACCACAACAGAACCCTACATCAACATACAAATTTCCGTAACCCTATTAATATGGTTAATCCCCATATCGCGTAAATAGCAAGTACTGATCATTTCGTAGTAAAACTCCGAATTGTTGAGAACCGCATATATTTGGTGTACTAATTAGCATACGAAATACACATGCAAACCAACTTGCTTTGTAATACGGATATATAAGGCACTAGGAAACAATACCAATGGCAGTCAAGTGTGATAGATCGCGAACATGGCATCATCTAAGGTCTACATTGTTTAGTTTATAATTATTATCTGACTTATAACATAATATAACATAACATTTTCCGTGTCCTTGTATGTACGTAAAAACAACTGAAATCAGTATTTCTAATGAGAAGTTTAAAATAAGTGCTGTGCTCGTTTCCCCTGTCACAAATAAAGGCTTGTGGAAATTACAATTTTCCTTTCTTTCATTTCAGATATTGATAATCTTCGGAGTGCTGATTTTAGCAGTAGCAGTTTTAGGTCAATTTGGCGGTGGCGGATTTGGTGGTAACCAAGGCGGATTTGGTGGTAACCAAGGCGGATTTGGTGGAGGACCAGGCGGATTTGGTGGTCCAGGGAACCAAGGTGGTTTCGGGGGACAAGGTGGATTCGGTCAGGGTGGATTCGGTGGACAAGGTGGATTCGGTCAGGGCGGATTTGGTGGACAAGGTGGATTTGGTGGACCTGGACACCAAGGAGGTTTCGGTGGCGGCCCAGGTGGATTTGGAGGAAATCAGGGAGGATATGGCGGAGGCAGAAATCGTGGCGGCAGATTCGGAGGTGGATACGGTGGTGGACGTGGTTTCCAGTATTAGCCAGTCACCAACAACAAAATGCATGTATGATCTATTCCCACTGATATATCTAAAATAATTGTTTTACTAGTCACTGTAAATACAGAAGCAAAATAATATTTCGATCGTATCTATTGATATTTCCAAAATAAAATGTAAATAGTTAAATGTTCACCGCGTTAACGTTCTATGTAAATATACCGATCGGTTTCCGCGAAATGGAATTATTTAAGTAAGTGAGTGATGAAAATTAAATATTTATTTTAACTGGTGGTTTTATTTTATTTTTCTTCTCCCAATTTTAGTACTGTGGTACTGTTTTATGTCGTGGCGGCCCGGAGGTTAAGACGCCCGCTTCTCACGCATGAGGGTGCGGGTTCGAAACCTACCAACGGCAAGTACCAATGTGACATTTACCGAGTTATACCTCTATGTACTTTCTAAGATTATTTAGACACCACTGACAAACGGTGAAGGAAAACATTGTAAGGAAACCTGGACTTATAATTTCTAATGATAAGTTTGAAATCGCGAACCCACAATGAGCAAGCGTGGTAATTAATGCTCAAATCTTCTCCGTGTGAGAAGAGACTTTGCTCAGCAGTGGGCATTATAGGTTGTTGATGATGAGTTTTAAGTTTATTAAAATATTATAGCATTATGATTCTCAGTTATAGCACAAAGTTTAGAGATCAACTATATTGTAGTAATTGTGGTGAGGTCTGCCTATTCTATTTCTAATGTATAACATCATGACTTTTTTTTCAAAAATATACTGCATATCTAGAACTTAATTAAATCATTAGTGCCTTTAATATTAGACCGTAAATAAAGGTCTAATTTAGTTTTCTGTAACAATAATATATAGGTGGCACTTTTATACCTATGTCTCCTGAAAATTAAAGTTAATTATTTAAACCCATTTTTCGTCAGTCATAACTTCTGTGTAATTAGATATTAAGAGGAGGAGAAGTGAGTCTTGTACAATACATTTGTAGGTACAATTCTGAAAGACAAAGATAAAGATAAAGATAAAGATGTATTTATTTCTAAGTACATGGTACACTGAGATCTTACATTAAACATAGAAACACATATACTACCATTTCGGGTGTAGAAATATTAAATAAGCTAAGTCCATGCAAATCTTAGACATTACAATAATCTTCATCTGATACAATTTATTCATTAAAAAAAACAATAATACATTTTTCGTCCAAATTGTTATGTCAAAAAATAAATACCAAACAAAAAAAAAGAAAATATATGTCATAGTTACTGGTTCCAATGTAAAAAAAAATATATATATTAATCATAATATCAATATTTCTAATAGCGTCAAATATTAATTACAAGGTCAAAAAGGATGATTTAAAAATTCGTTAACGGAGTAAAAACACATGTCCAGGAGCCAAGTAAACAATAATACTTTATCCAACCAAATAGGTAGTAGATATCCTTACTAATATTATAAATCGGAAAGTGAGTTTGTTTGTTTGTTTGTTCCACTTTCACGCCGTAACTACTAAACCGATTGCTTTAAATTTTTTCAGACGTGAAGTTAGAATTCTGGATTAAATAATAGGGTACTTTTTATCCCGGAAAAAATTGATATTCTCGAGGGAAAACGAAATTATTGGTATAGATGGCGCTGTGTATATTGGTTCATGTCACATAGGCTACTTTTTATCCTTTTGTGACGCGAGCGAAGCCGCGGGTAAAAGCTAGTCATAAATATATAAGCACCCTTAAAAGTTAAACTCAAAAGCATTTTTTTTAATTAATCCTTGATTAGGCACTTTTGAGACGTAAAATTGAATTGTTAGTGAAGCTAGCTCACACACAACTCAGGTGTTCACACTTAAAACACAAAGTCACTATGACTGGCATACCTAGTTTTAGAAATATTAAAATGACGTAGGCACTTCAAAACATCTGAGCAAAGTCGCGTTCGTGCAAATATTGGTATTTCCTTAGTATAAGTCATAATGTTCTATGCATATATTAATTTTTAATTCGTAAACAAACACAACAATTTAAGGAAATAATTAATAGTGTGGTATCTCTAATGTTGCAATATTAAATATTATCTTGATATATATAATACTGTATGTCACTGAACTTCTCTCAAACGACTGGACCGATTTTGATGAAATTTTTTGTGTGTGTTCAAGGGGATCTGGGAATGGTTTAGATTCACAAATCAGCCCGGTAAATGGCGCTGCATCCGATGTTTAGGTTATTTATCCTAAACAGCTGAACTAATTTGAATGAATTTTTGTTTATACATTCAAGTAGATATGCAGGACAACATCTGTTGGGTCCGCTAGTTATTTTATAAACATTTAAACTGACTTTTGTCCATCTATACACCGTGAAATCTATTTCGTTTTCGTCCCGAAGTAAAATGGTTCTGTCTTGGTAATACAATAGTTTTACAATGTTTAATACCAAAACCTAACTGGTGAACCATTGCAAAAAGCAAACTTCGAAAGTGCATACGAACTCATAACATAACATCACGCCTTTTATCACCGTAGGGGAAGGCAGAGGTGCACATTATAGAAGAGGTTTCTCGTCGGGTGGCACATGCAATGTAAATAGTGCCTATCAATACCTAATTTGCGTCTGGTGTTTCATGTGCGTATTTCCGTGCATTCTTTTTTAAACTAACAAAATAATGATATGTATATTTTTTGTTTTTACTTTAGTTATTTATCAAAAGTGTTTCTTATGGTAGGATGTTTTGCAAAATAGATTTCACGGTGGAGATAAAAGAACCGAAGCTTACTTGTCTTTCTGTACAAAGAGAGAGCAACTACGTGGATATACGACTCTTTTATTTACCCGTTACGTTCAGCAATAGACTTGGACGTGAATAATATAATGATTATGCGACGATAAAAAATTGTTCATGACATAGTTTGGCAAACGAGCAGACAGATCACCTGATGGTAAGCAGTCACCGCCGCCTATAGACAACCGCAACACCTAACGAACACCTAACATGAAGAGTTTAAGGGATACCAAATTTTTGTATTTGAGAATTAGGAACAATGAATAGGGGAGTATTGGATGGAGACTGGAGGGTAACCACAACAAAACAAATACAAGCATTGTTTCTCGCAACTAGTGTACCGTACGCTAGCTTTACAGAAAACCTAGTACAGAAAGCTAGTCCATTCATCCCACGTGTGAAAACCGACGTGAAACAACACAAGCGTTGTGTTTCGACGTGTAAGTGAGGCTACCGAAGGCCCAATTACCTCCCCGCCCCAGTCTCCCCAATCCCCCACAATCCTCATATTCCCAATTCCCCAAAGGCCTGTAACGCACTTATAACGCCTCTAGTGTTTCAGGTCAAAAGAAGGTTCGATATTCTTCTACACTTGACCTGCATTCATATCAATCAGAAACTGATTAAAATAAATAAATACTTAATAATCAAAAGAAATCTTCTAAATTTTTATATATTCAATTTAATCCAATTCCGTATGTTACTAGACAGGTTTACGCCTAGCGAAAAATATTTGTTTTCGTTCAAAACCTCGAATCGTGACATACATATTATACGCACATTTATGAGATTCATAAATAATCCGGGTCAACACTAAACTGGTCTAACCATTAAACTTGACTATGAAACTGACCAGCATAATATTTATACCAATATAATAAAGATTATGAATTTGTTTGTTCAAACGTACTGTAGGTACCCAAAATGGTCAAAAACATAACATAACAGTGATGTTATGTATAAAGGCGTGAGCCTTTCATCCCCGAAAGGGCAGATGTGCACATTACGGCACTAAATGCCACTGTACAAGTCCCATGCAATATGTAGTGAGGGGGTGGCGCAATTCCAGACTCCATGCTACCACCCAGAATTTAATTTAAAAAACCCAGTAATACTTTACCCAACCTAGGGATCGAACCCGAGACCCCTTGCTCAACAGTCGGCAAACAAAGCAGAAAGTATTCTGCAAATCCATTATCCAATAAATTGTTAACGATGATACAATACGCATATTGTATTACTTTTATGTTTATTCACAAATAAACAGAAAATGTGAGTACCTACTCCCACGTGGAGATCTAGTTAGGTAACAGTAACTGCAAAGATTTTCTTATACTGTAATAGTATGACAATACAAACCGTGAGATCGAGTTTCTAAATTATCCAAATATTTTCAAGTAACATAAATGGATAGACGCATTTAAACGTATGGACGTACCAAGGTATTTCAAATTAGTCATTTCTCTTCACGAATGTTGAATTTATGCGTGAATCTCAGAATTTCCATTCATTCGCATATTGTGAAAATATTTTATCTAAGTGTACGTCATTGTCATTTGGAATTATGACGCAGAACGCATGGATTCTCCATTTTTTGTTAATTTATTATAATTATACTGTTCAAACAGGCTAATATAAATAATTCACAATATTCGTTTGACAAGCCAAAGTAAATATGAACGTTATACATAGGTATTAGGTGCCTATATCCGTCAACAGATTGTCTGAAATCAGCATAGATTAAACGCTTATTAATATTATACTTGACAGATTTGTTTAAAATCCCTTGAAATACAGAGCAACTTCATTGTCAAACTAATTTATTCAGACCCTAGATAAAAGAATGTTATACCCAGAAATCAAAGCGAGTCAGTAGGCTTATATTTTTAATGTTTATAGTTGTCAAGTAAATTAATTTATGTATCACAATGTTTCGCTATTTTTGGCACATTTTTGTTCATGTATTAATAAACTTAGCACCGATTCTCAAAGTTTGTTTTTTATGTTTGTCTTCAGTTGATATAGATGAGTACATTGTGAGGGATACCGGTATATAGAGGTAAATAGCAACAATAATTATTTCACTCATAAACTACATTTAAAAAATCGAGTTAAACACTATCTTTAATACACTAAAACCTTTTCCTAAGTGTAATGAACACTTTTCTGAATACCGCCTCAAAATTGGTTCAGTCAGTCGCAAGATAATCGCGCATATACATACATACACAAACATACATACATACATGCTTACAAGTAAAACTGAGAACCTCCTTTCTTTGAAGTCGGTTAATAAAGATAAATCAAAATGAATTGGTGAGGAATGAAAATGAAGATAAATAAAAATGAATCTGATGTCACAGATACAATATCATACAATATATAGAGATTAGAAAACAACACATTTTTAATTATCAAAGTAGTGTACCCTTTTTTGAGGGGGGAAATCATCCAATGAATTCTCCTGCCTGGGGTTAGGCAAGAGGGAGTGTCAGACTCTTACTCACTAAAAAACACCCCGTTCCTACTCCTGCTCTTCGAGCCGGAGCCCCGGCAACCCGTTTGGCCTTCCGCGGCTTCATAAAGTATTACCCTGAATTAGATAAAGTTACTATCAAAAAAATTGTGTCTGTTACGATGTAAGCTTGCTCTCTGTCACAGACGTTTACAAAAAACCTTTAACCACTAAAACTGCTCAATAAAAACATTATTGTCATTAAAATAAAACCAACTTTGTCACAGTTAACAGCATTTTAATAAGTTACGTCATAACGTGTCACTTAATTTGCATAAACCTTAATTAATAACTTTAGGAAAGTTAATATTATAGCTGTTTATGTTTATGTTTAGAACCGCTATAATTAATACAAATTCGAACGTGAAATCCCAAGCCCATTTGGCTATATATATTTAAAGCGAATTTATAGATATATAAACATCAGTTCGTGTTTCGAGGACATACGCAAAACAACACAAAATGGCAAACTCAAAAGTAAGTCATTTTCTATAATAAAAAAAAAATAAACATTAAAAGAATAGAAACGCAGTGATTTACTAGCAATAATTAATACTGCCACAGATTTATAATTGATTTATTAAGTTAATAGAAATAATAAATAATAACTACTTAGTTTCTTAAATTATACTTTTGTATCAGACTTTTATAAAATCATTCACATTACTAACTAACATCACTATGCAAACATGATCCATCAATCTGGGGTTTTAACTCTTATAATAATAATCTTATGTTTTAATATCTTAAAGTTTTAAAGTATTATAATGGCAGATTTTTGAACACCAAGTACCTACATAAAAAACTAATTCGTCTTTTTATTCCAGGTTACGCTCTTAGCACTATTCCTAGCTGTGGTTATATCGGTAGCGACCGCTCATGTCATCGGGGTTGGTGGCCTAGGAGTTGGCTTCATCGGTGGTGGGTACGGGCCAGGCTACGGCTATGGAAGGTACCCAGGCCACGGAGGCTACGGGGGCTTCTACGGACCCAGTTACGGCTACGGCCACTACAGTTATGGTGGCTATGGACACGGATTTGGTGGCCCAGGAATTTACTTCTGATGAGCCTAAACTTAAGACCCTTGCTTTAAATACTAAGTCTTTGTGATACTTTCTATTTATTTATTTATGTGAAATAAAAGTTGTTAAGCAAAATTTGAGATTGGTTTTCTTTACTTTTAGTTAAAAATACATTCAGTCATTCATCGTGTTACCTCCAATTAATCTAACGTTCTCTTCAACTTCAAAACTTTCCACTAAACTTAGTTATTGTAAACTGGCGGAGGATTACTCATTTGATCGAAAGTCGCTCGCGCATTCGTCATAAATTGCGACATAAGTTGAAGGAAAACACTTCCAAAATATAAAGCTACCCTGGATGCTCTTACCAGTGAACTGTCATTTAACGAGAAACCATTTCTTGGTGGTTCTGGTTGAATAAAATTTGTTTCTATAGGTCTTCCCACATTTCCTTCAACTACAGGAGGACCAAGACTAGGTTGTATAGAACCTAAATTTTCACTCACTGGGACAGCTCGCATGATATCAGTATAGAGACCAGAAGATGGGGGCACAACCATATTTGTAGAAATAGGAGGAATACCTTCTCTCGCAGGCAAAGGTGGACGCAGTAGCGGTAGATCACTGTTTATTGGTCTTCTAGGAGGTATTTGAACAATTTCTTGGATCCCTGCCGGTGGTGGCACACTACTTATAACTGGTGGAATCGGAGTGACGATTACACTAGGCGGCACTGATGCTGAAGAAGGAATTAAAACAGGTCTGGGAGAAGCTTGTGGTAATATTGGCGATACTGGAGGAGGTAGAGGTGATGATACTATTACAGGCCTATCAGTTGATTGTGGTAACGTCACTAAAAAAGGCGTTTGTAAAAGTCCTGGATCTTCAATTCGTTCGTACACTGGCGCAGGACGCACTGGTTCCACAGAAAGGGGCACAACAGGCGGTCCTTGAGCTCCCGTCGCCATAAGATTATCAAGAGCTTGCCTCTTCTGTATTATATGCTTCCTCCCAAATACTCCAAATGGAGACCATTTTTCTTTTATGAAACTGATTGGGTTTCTCGGTAATGGCTTGAAGTTAATTTCAAAACCTCTTTGGAAACTTATGCCTTGAAATAATGGTGTTCCGTTGGATTCTGACCACAGCACTGCCACAGTTAGGAAAGTAACCTGGGAACCAGAAGCAAAAGTATATTAAAACCCAGAACACAACACAATCTGAACAGCATTAAATTTTAACACAATAATAAAACGATACCTCGAGAAACTTCGTCATTCTGCAATGAATGCCGCAATGAAAATCAACAGAAAATCACAAAGTTGACTATAAATAATATTATTATGGACAAATTCAATGTTCATTCATAATTGACAGTAATTAAAGCTCCTTAACCTTTTTTATCTAGCACGCTACGATACTGGGAACCCAAGGTTTGTATTGTATTCATAATTTCATTGCTATAGAATTTTCAATTTTAACACTACGTTTATTAAGTTGAGGTAATCTTTAAATTGTATTCCTTTAATTATTCATAACATAACGTAACATCACGCCTTTTATCCTCGAAGGAGGAACCCCGCAGAGGTGCACATTCTGCCACTGTACAATGTAATACCCACTTGTCACTATTTATGTTATGAGTCCCATGTAATAGGTGGTGAGCCTATTGCCATATAGGCATAGCCATTGCCGGACACAATTCCAGGCACCGTGCTACTACTGAGAATTAAAAAAAAAACCAATAGTATTTTGAACCGGGAATCGAACCCGAGACCCCTTGCCCGGCAATCGCACTTGCGACCACTCGGCCAATGAGGCAGTCTTTAATTATTCACTTTCCGGAAAATATTATCTACTAATGGGGAATGAATCATATTTGCTATTTCATCTTTTGATCTTCATTACGTTCGAGCCGCCGGTGACTTATCGCGCTAATTACCTACGCTTTGCAAAACTCTCAGGCAACATAATGACCAGTTACTGTATTAATTTTATGTGTCTCCATAAGCACGTTTCACTAATTACTTCGTGACATCCTAAGCTGAATACATTGTCGTGCATAAATTAAAATCGAAATTTGTTCACTAATGTTAATACTTACCCTATTTGAGTTTTAGAAGAAACCGGGATCGCTGACTAAATGACAGAATACTTGTGGTATGTATTTGATAGTAGACATATTTAACTAACTAATTAAAAACTAAAAGAACACTATTTCATTACTTTCATATCAAATCTAACCGGTAAATTATGTATTCGGGCTGATTATTTTAATCAGCCATTTAAATTACAAAATGTAATCTCGACAGGAGAATACGGAGTAAAGGGTGGACTTACCATAGTTGAGTGCATCAAGTGGAACATATTGCGTTGTGGTCAGATTTTGATTGATATTCCACAGATATGTACAGTACATGTATATAGCATGCTTAGAGCCGATTTTTCAACGCTCACATAAATTTTAACTGAGGAATAACAAAACAATATTTGACAGTTCTTCCATACTAAAAACTGTCAAATTTCAATTATACAGTTAATTCTTAATTTTCTTTCTTTTCTTTTTTAATTCTTAACGCGGGAGGGAGTGTCAGACTCTTACTGACTAAAAACCACCCCGTCCCTTCCCCTGCACGTCGAGCATATCCTATACAATTTCTAATGCAGCATAGTTCAGTAAAATACCCACAAGTTATATTGACAAATCATGTTAAACAGGTATTAAATCTGCGGATTATAAAAAAGGACTGCCTCGATTACCGAGTCTGCTCGATGAGCAAGTCCAATTGCCGGGCAAGGGCTCTCGGGTTCGATTCCCGGGTCGGGAGAAGAATTAGTAGGTTTTTAAAAATAACCCCATTAGTACCACGAAGACTGGAATTGTGCCCGGTATATGCCAAAAGGCTCACCACCTATTACAAGGGACTCATAACATAAATAGTTAAACGTGAGTGTTACATTGTACAGTAGCATTAAGTGCCACAATTTGCACCTCTGCCTACCCCTTCGGGGATAAAAGGGGTGATATTATATTATGTTGTTTTTATAAAAAGTTTCATCTAGTTCAGTAATATGTATGTTTTGAATGTTAAGTTTATTTGAATTAGACAATTTATTATAAGTAAAAGTATCTAATACTAGAAGTTACACGTAATGTATCATTATGTAACCAAAGAGTCTAGACAAACTGTATTGAAAAATAATTAGATAATTTGTCAACGTAAACTTCCTGAATGTTAAAGAATGGTAGCTAACGCTTTACCGAATTTAACCGCCTTACTTCATAATTCTATATTATATAGCTAATCGAACAACATAATTATGTATATGAATTTACATTATTAGCTCTCTGAGGCTCTATTTGAATCAAGTTTATACTAAAAACTAAACTGTAAATTGACAAAAAGTATGTAATAAACTAAAGCAACATTGGGTACTTTCCATAATCGAAAATAAATGATTTCGACTGTTCAATACAATAAAATATTACAAAATAATCACACTGTAATTAATAGATTCTATGAACAACTTAATTTTAGTATTTTTCCAACAATTTTTTAAGTAATAAGTATGCTGTTTGATGCTAGAAAATGTGTGATCCCAATACACTCGCGTACTAAATTCATTGAGAACTGTCGTTTTGGCAGTACGAAAAAGTATTGAATTTGACTAGTTAGCAAGTACCCAATTATAGCACTTCTACCGATCCTTTAAAGAATAAGAAGCATTATGCTATGAAGATTTAATTCAAAACTACAATTAATTATTATGCAACAGTAACAATAAACGCAGTACCTAACTGTTATTCTTGTACTCTGCAGGAATAGTAATATTTATGGTTGGCTGGTAGATATGGTTGGCTGGTAGGTATGGTTGGCTGGTAGAGAATGCCATTCGGCATTAAGTCCGCCATTGTATACAGTTGTACATAAAGTGTTTAATAAATAAATAAATACCTAAATAATATTTGTGTTACTCATTCAGTTATTCTGTTTGAGTACATAATTCTGGAGTACGGATGTCCATAACATATTCTGGAGTACGGATGTACATAACATATTCTGGAGTACGGATGTCCATACTAGTCTATTCAGTTATTCTGCTTGAGTACACATTCTGGAGTACGGATGTCCATACTAGTCTATTCAGTTATTCTGCTTGAGTACACATTCTGGAGTACGGATGTCCATACTAGTCTTTTTACGTCCAAAGCACGCGTGATTTATTAGCGGGACACGGCACACGTCGACATATATGTATGTGACTTGGCTTAGACTGCAACAATGTTTCCTAGAACTCTGGAAAGTTATAATACCTTTCGATGCTGCCTCGTTGGCCGAGTGGTCGCAAGTGTGACTGCCGGGCAAGGGGTCTCGGGTTCGATTCCCGGGTCGGACAAAGTATTACTGGGTTTTTAAAAAAATCGCAGTAGTAGCACAGAGTCTGGAAATGTGCCCGGTATATGGCAATAGGCTCACCCCTTATTACATGAGTCTCATAACATAAATAGTGAAACTGAAAAGTGGGTGTTACTTCTGTGTGCACATCTACCTACCCCTTCGGGGATAAAAGGCATGATCTTATGTTATTAAATCTTATGTTTCGATTAAGTCATCACTAAAGTAATTTATCGCTGTACCATTTTCGCTAGTTCGACAGTAAAAGTGGCTATAACTAATATAATTCCCATAAATTAAATCAACCAGACACTGTTAGCACAGCTGTTATTACCTTTATGACGCTTTTCTCGGGTCAAGAATCGATCACACGGTTAAACTTTTAGGCACTCGATTAAAGAAATCGATCGAATATAAATATTATTCATAATATTCGCCGACCTACTGACAAGATTCCGAATGCCTACAAGCAAGAGGATTTGAATCAGGAGAAATCTTGGGCCTGGCAAAATTAAAAAAAACTGTGTATACAGGTTTCCAATAAATCATGAGACCGTTACTTTAACTTCGTAACACGCACTTCTTCGATACTAAATCAGAATAACAATGAAATTGTGAACTAAATGACAATATTAATAAGTTTTCTTAATAGTTTGTATGTGCAGTGGGTGTATAGAAACTGTCTAACTAACGTGTGCATGAAAGTGGTTCCA